ACCTGTGCGTGAATTTCGTGCACCAGGCCTCTAGTTATAAATAACACTGCAATGAACATATGGGTGCATATATCATTGCAAATTAGTGTTTTGGATTTCTTCGAATAAATACCCAGAAGTTGAATTGCTGGGTCATAAGGCAGTTCTATTTTTAATTTTTTGAGATTCTCCCATACTGTTTGCCATAGTGGCTGCACCAATTTTCAATTCCATCAACCATGAATGAGGGTTCTCTTTTCTCCACACCACTTGTTTGTTGATTGATTGATGATAGCCATTCTGACAGGTGGGAGGTTTTAATTTGCATTTCTCTGATGATTAGTGATGTTGAGCATCTTTACATATGTCTATTGGTTATCTGTATGTCCTCTTGGGAGAAATGTCTATTCAGTCCTCTGCCCGTTTTTTAATGATTGTTTGTTTTTTGGTGTTGAGTTGTATGAGTTCTGTATAAATTTTGGATATTAACCCCTTATAGGATGTGTCTTTGGTGAATGTCTTCTTCCGTTCAGTAGGCTGTCTTTTTGTTTTGTTGATGGTTTCCTCTGCTGTGCAAAAACTTTCTTAGCTTGATGTAGTTCCATTTGTTTAGTTTATCTTTTGTTTCCCTTGCCCGAGGAGATAGATCAGAAAAAAATATTACTACGATCTATGTCAGAGAGTTTACTACCTATGTATCCTTCTGAGAGTTTTATGGTTTCGGGTCTCACATTTAAGTCTTTAATCCATTTTGAGTTTATGCTAGTATATGGTGTAAGAAGGTGGTCTAGTTTCATTTTTTGGCAGGCATCCGTGGGTGGATAGGAGTTTTGGGGGAGACACTATTCCATCCTCCACTACAGGAGCTGAGGAGGGATGTCTTCATATCTTACATCCCTAACATCTGGTTCATCTTAATTAGTGATTATTCCTGGCCCTACTATAGGTAATGACATTGATAATATTAATATCTTTATTTCTGATTCTTCTCATTATGTAAATTGAGTACAAATTGCTAAAAATATTTTTAAACCATTTAGTTATACCAATAAACTATAACTTCCTGATCAAGATTACTCAATCAAAGATTCTATGACTTTGAAACTTGAAAATTCACCTCCCATGATTGAACAATTAAGTGTCAGAGACTGTGGTTATAAATTTACATGTGAAGCAATGCCAGCAAAATTGTTTCAGTTCAGTTTTGGAACATTCATTAAAGTTCAGTTATAAGCCTGACATTTATTTTCAGCCGTAATTGTTTAATTGTTCCATAGAAATTAAGAATATGATATAAATATCTATTTTCTGAAGCATCTTCAGGCAACTCACTCATATGGTTTAGGATATTCTCTGTGCATCAGCCCTCTCTGTGAGAGGACAAAGAAACCTGGGCAGTAGCTTCACAGGCCCAGGACTCCTGGTGGAGTGGGAAGTCTGGATGTGAAAAGTGGACCCAACCTGTGCTTCTCACATTCACGCAGACTTATGGCCTTTGAAAAATTCCTAAATATAGATAAATATTTTCAGTGAAAGCACCCATATCTTCATACTTTCTCATTTTCATTTGAGCAGATTACTAGACAAGTGGTTTCTGGATTTTAAGTGATAATATTTATCTTTAGAATTAATTTTAGAAATATATCCCACAATTTTTGTTTTATTTTGCAAAGACAACTGGATTTGCTGCATCAGCAACACATCTAGTGTATTGTATTTTTTTAAAAAAAAATGCATGGATGTAGAGATACATGAATAGTAACAGCAGCTGGAAATTCAGTGGACAGAAAATATTTTTTAAATTTAATTTTTAAAATTCTACACACTTCGGAGATGCCCAGTTTTTTGTCAGTGCAAGGTCGTTTTTGCTAGCTGTAGTGATGGTATTGTTTGCATCTCCCTTTGTCATTCCTTTTCCAGACCCAACTCTTCTTTTTTCATTTCTGCAAAAGCCCAGGACAGATTCTCTGCCTGAGAGACACCCCATAGAGGCTGGTGAACCACATGTTTATCAGGCTCTTGTAATAGGTTGTTAAAAGCACTTGTTCATCAGATATTTTCTTGTTCTTTTTATTTGTAGATTTAGAAGTATTTTAGCAGGTGTACATTTGCATATAAAAGAGAATAAAAGATAAGAAGTTGAGGCTTTTTCTTTCTTCTCTTCTCATCATCTCTCCCCTACCTCCCTTTATGCAGTGTGTTTCACTTTGTTTCTCTAGCTGTTTCCATTCTCTAGACACAAAATGCATATTAAAAAAAAAAAACAGTCTCAGAGATCCATTACCACTTTGTAGGAAGATGGCTGATTGGGTTCTGCTAGCTTATGTAAGGAAGTAGGAAAATATTTTTATCTAATTGTGTTATCAGTCTGAAATTAATGGCAAGGGTAGATTTTAGTCCCCTGGACCCTTGCCTTATTTTTTGTTTTAAATGACAATCTTTTTTACTTTTTAAACTAAATCTTGACACAGACTTGAATATGTAATAGCTGCTTGACTGAGAATCCAGAACCTAAAGCTGGAACATGCAAGCATGCTTGTTTCTGTGTGTACTGGAACATTCTAATTGAAAATAACTGTATTCTATTTGTCTGCTCTCTGTCTATGAGTCTGTCTTTATTTTGCTTGGTAGTTCAGTTTGTTCATTAAATTCCACATATGAGTGAAATAATTTGATACTGGTCTTTCTCTGACTGGCTTATTTCACTTAGCAGGCAGACAGCTCTAGTGGGGAAAGGGTGTTGGGGGGAGTGGAGGGATTGAGCAAAAAAGAAAAAAAGAGAGAGAGAGAAAACTCATGGACATGGACAACAGTGTGGTGATGGGGGTTGGAGGTGGAAGAGGGCATAGAGGGGATAAATGGTAATTGGAAAAAATTAAAATAAAAGAAAGAAAGAGAGAAAAAGAAAGAACTATATTCTTTAGAAATAGTTGTTTTATATAATACTTTTCACTACTCAATAGTTTACTGAGAGGTTGACATTACTAATAAGAGGAAGTGTTTCCCTGGAGTTCTAAGGAGCCACCCAGTCCTCAAATTTACAGACTGAGAGTTTACTTGCCTATTGAGAAGATTAAAGTATTTTCCCCTTGGAATTATGCACACCTTGTCTCTACCTTGTTTATAGCATGCTAACTTGAACCTCTAGATTTGTTACTTTTGCCCCTTGTTTGTTCATTAATTCACTTAATAACTATGAATTTGCAGCTTTTCAACACTTGATGCTCCACTATCAAAAGCCTGAGCCTGAGTTGCCAGAAACCTTAAGATCCTAGCTTTGCCGTTTTGCTTTATGAAGTTGGCCTCCTAGCCAAGTCTTCTAGACTATTCCTGGAGGATGTCTGAATTGTTTGAGCCCCCCTTGCAAAAAGCATACACTTGTGTCCAAAGAATCTCAAATCTGGTCCACTTGATACAGACAGCTACTTAGAAATCTCTAAATCAATGTTGCAGCCTCCCTTGATAATATGTTCTGGGGTCTCTCAACTCTTTCAACGGAGTGAGCTTTTTTAACATCTAAATTAGCTTGGCTGAAGTTTTTCACAGTTTTCTTGCGGCACAATAAAAATTGCTCACCATCTAGTTTCAACGTTGCAAGTATGTTCTGTTCAGCCTGTGCAGTTTTTATTTTTTCATTTACAAAGGCAGAAATCTGGCGAGACGAGGCCCACTTTCCCAGCTGGCAGCAATTGGCTGTAGTCAGAGAATAGCTCTCCGCAGTGGACAGGGCATGGCCCTCCAGCCTGCTACAAGCTCACCCCTCCCGCTGCTCTCACCTGACCAGAGTCACTTTTTATGTGTGGTTCCTGCTTGGCCCCCGACAAGTGTCTGCATTTACAATCCTGCCCTGTCCAGTGTGTCTGTAATATCTGTGTTCTTGAACCCATCTTCCCTTGTTTCTACATAGGATGCTGTTTTGTTATTTCTGTGCTAAAACTAATTCTCCATGTTCCATTCCATCCAGGTATCCTTGAGACTTGAGGTAGTGGGCGAGGTTGTATCTTGGGTCCTTCACATATGTGATCTTTATGTACTGTTTTCCCCAACAACCTTCTCCCCTTAACTTACAGTGGATGCCATTAGAAGCCCTGCAGGGCTAAGGGTGTCTGTCCTGTGGACCCGATCCAGGTCTGGGCTGCTGCTGACCCCCTTGGCACACCTCGCTTTGCTCCCTGTGTATGCCCTTTCTGTCCCCACAACAACCTTGGTTAGATTTTTCTCAGCTCTGGGTCTCTGAGCTCATCCTGCTAGGACTATTCTTCCTGATGTTCCTGCCATTCACCCAGCCTAGAAACCCCGCACTCAAATGTGAGAGCCTGAGAGGCAGAGCAGGGAGTGCTTCAAAGTAGACAAAGGATGGACCAAGGAATCCGTGCTGTTTCTTCTGGTTCATTCTGTAGTGGCTTCTGCAAGGCCTGGAGTGGAGAGAAACCATTTACCACGAGTTGACCCACTCAAAATAATGAATAGCATTTGGCCATCTCAGATAAACTCACACAATTTGTCTTTGAGTCTTGAAAACTGGGTTCAACTAAAATGGTTTTTGTTTGTTTTCAGAGTACCTAAAAGAGGCAGTACAGAAACAATTTTCATGCATTTAAAAAGTATTAATAAAGTGCTTTATTTTTTTGTTGTTATCAAATTATATAAGTACCTTATATGTTCTGGATATTAACCCCTTATCAAATATATTATTTCAATTATTTTCTCCCATTGCATAGCTTGCCTTTTCACTCTGTTGATTGTCTCCTTTGACATGCAAAAATTTTAAGTTTGTAGTAGTCCTATTAGTCAGTTTTTATTTTGTTGACTGTGCTTTGGTCATCCAAGAAATCATTGACAAATCCACTGTCCTAAAGCTTTTATCCTATGTTTTCTTCTAAGAGTTTAATAGTTTTAGGTCTCACAGTTAAGTCTTTAACCATTTTTGAGTTGGTTTTTCCGTATGATATAAGGTAAGAGTTCATCTCTCTTTTGCACGTAGATATCCAAATCTCTGTGCCTTTTTTTGTCATCTATAGAAACAAAGGTCTACCAGTGGCTGAAGCAGTCTGCCCTTCAGGATAATGCAGATCAAACTGAGGACAGACTCCAAAAGGACGCTTCTGCCTCACAGCTTCCAGGTGAGCAAGGGCAGATCCAGCGCTTGAAATCAGTGTCTAGGGCAGCACCGGGTGGTGGCCAGTGCTGGGTTCAGGGAAGGGTGGTCATTCTTTGAAGGTTTCTGGAATTTGCTTTGTAACAAACTGTCACTGTCAGAATGAGCCAGTACCTTTCCAGTTGTTAATGAACACGAGTTTGGAAAAGTCTTCCCTCCTGGATACATTCTGGCCCCTCAAGGTGATGGCGCTTACAGACCCTGGGATTCTGCCTGCAGGCACATGAGAGCAGCGTGTCCCTAAGTACCACAGGAGACATGTCCAGTTCCTTTTCTTCCCACATCTTCCAATTTCCTAACCATCAATGGGAGCACCATCCTAGGCTACCCAGAATGTTGAGGAATTTGGGGGTTCTTTAGATGAAAAGACTAAATCCCAGTAAAAACTAGTTTTAAGCTTAAATATAATTTTGACAATCTGGGATGTTTGTTTTAAGTGTAATTTTCTCTGTTTTCTAATATTTTATTGTATTTTTATAATTTTCACTGGTTTTCATTTTATTACACCTTTTTTAGTATAAGTCACCTCAGTTCCCTCTGTGAAAATAAGTGGATTAATACTGAAGGAAGTACACTTTAATGTTACTTTTACATAAGACACCATACCATTATTTGTATCTATCAGAATGAAAAATGATCTTTTTAAATATATTTTTATTGATTTCAGAGAGGGAAGGAGAGGGAGAGAGAGATAGAAACATCAATGATGAGGAAAAATCATCGGTCGGCTGCCTCCTGCACGCCCCCTACTGGGATCGAGCTCACACCCAGACTTGTGCCCTTGACCAGAATCGAATCCAGGGCCCTTTCGTATACAGGCCAATGCTCTATCCACTGAGCCAAATTGGCTAGGGCGAAAAATGACTTCTTAATATCACATGATTTCCTGTCCATATTCAGATTTCCCAACTATCTCAAAGATGTGTTCACCAGACAGACACTTTTTTTGAGAGACACACTTAATGGTACATCAGACTTGTCTTTGAAGCTATTTCCTAGTTAATTGTAATGTTAGAATCGGTTGCTGCAAAATTTATTTTGGTTGTTTTGAGGATTCAGTGAACCACTGTAGCTTAAATACCCAGCCCTGTGCCTGTTGGAGAAAAGCCTCCAGGAGGGCTGGCGTGTGGTGGTCGTGGTGGTGGCGGTGATTTGAACTCCGTGAACATGAGACATTGTAGTTTGTTCAGATATAAAACAGGGCCTCTACCCGCAATAGAGGTCTTCGTCACTTTGGAGAGATAGAGCACTTGTGAGCCCTTAAATGTTTGCTTTTCATCTCCTTCACATTTGAGTCACAGAATTAGAACCCAGGGGAACTTATCCAACCCCCTCATTTTATAAGCAAGGCCCCAAGAAAGTAATGTCTCTTTCTGAGCATTATAGCTGGTTAGCAGACATACACAGGTGACTCCACAGATTTGTTATTGGTAAGTATACTTTGGATAGTTCATTGGACAGGTTCAAAGGACGAGTAAATATGATATAAGTTGTAGTCTGTTGGATGTGTATCAAAATTATAGTATTAATGTATTAATAATTAAACATATTTTGTTAATTCATTCGTAAGTGAAGTGATACTATATGGGTTTTGTAGTCAAGTATCCCTAAATTCAATTTTCTCACTCTACACTTAAAATTACACTATGTGTTTGCAACATTCTAAATTGTCATCGTTCGGATCTTCTTAGTGCTTCTAATAGTGTTGGCAGTCATTGTAGTTAGATACTGCCTCTGGTATTTCTTTTGCATTTTGGTCATGCATTACTTTTTCCTTCTCATTCTCACTCTGATCCTGGGGACTTCTCTGAGCTCCAAAAAGAAGCAGGAAGTAGGCTCAGAGGGCAGAGGGAAATGGAAGCCAAGTACCGTGTTAAACTTCACAGCACGGTTCCAGGTGGTGGTGGGGATGTGCACTCTCAACTCAGGAGCCACCCCCACGTCTAACTATTGAAGAAGCAGTGCTTGTTTTAATTACTTTCTGCACCAGATGTCTTAGTTTTTTTGTCTCTGGACCTGCCTCTAAAGAAAGCCACTTACACCTGGTGCCTTTGTTTTCATATCTGAAATGACCAGGTCCTGGTAAGCACCTGCAGACCTGTGCAGGCTGCACATGGACACGTTATCAAGAGAATCCCTCTGCTGCAGAGGTTCTATGCAGGCAAGCAGATTACGGGGTAGAAAGTCAGCAAATGCCTTTTGCTGAGCTGCCCTGGCACTCTCTATCTGTGATCTTGGGCAACTGCCAGTTAAGAATCAGACTTGTAACAAACACATCCAAGGCTGATGACTCCCAGGAGGCACAGGTCAGGAATTGCCCCGCAAATTGGGGGCATCACAGGGTTTCCCCAACTCCAGGGGAAAGGTGCATTGTGCATCTTCCCCATCAACCTTTTCAGGCTGGTTAAAGAGTGGCCTTGACGGTTTTCAGTGGAGATTCAGTCTCCTCTGCAAGATGGAAAAATAGAGGATTCGGCAGAGGCACTTTAAAAGGTGGGTGGTGTGGGCAGCTGTCTCCAGGAGTGTCAGTTATTTCTGAGACCTGGTTCCTTGCACCCATTGAGTTGGTGCCTGTGTGTTATAACAATGTGAATTATCCAGAGCTCGATGCCATAGTGGGGATCCATGTGCTTACCCGTGCATCTTGATCATTTAAAATGGTGTTCTTTGAATGATTTTATTGTTCACTTTTTGTGGCTTCTGTGTTTCACTAGGAAACCCCCCCACACACACACACACTTCTTTTCAGTATTCTACCAATGTGTTATTTCTTGCCTCAAAAGCGCCCTTGCTTTCTGTGGCTTGAGCAGCATCTTCCTCTGTTGACATTTTACCAAAGTTATTGTGAGGCCCCTTCTTTCTTCGTTGTGTCTGTTGCTGTGTGGAGGCTAATGCTCCCTCTCCTGTTGGTGCTTGTCACAGGTTTGAACATTGGCGGTGGTACATTGAAGACGACAACTAACAAAATCACATCGGAAACTAGTTTTTCATCTAGCGAAAGAAGTCCTTTGTCAAGGTAAAGTCGTGAAAGCCTTTCTGAATGGTGGCAACAAGAAGAGAAATGTCACTACACAATGAATCAAACTTCAGCTACATGTTATTTTGTTGTGTGACTTGATGGAAGGTTCTGGTTCTGGTATTTATCTAAAATAACAGTTGAAACTTCAGTCTACCTTTGAAAATGTTTGCACCAGAGCCAAGTATTGTTTTGCAGCTGTTGTTTCCGTGGTTTAAGACTCAATTGACACCTCAGTGAACCACAAATTAGCGTCTACAGCTGCTCGCAGTAGGGCTGCTTAGAGACCACACAATGGAAAGGGGCAGAGAAAACATCGGACCTTAAAGGAAATAAAGTGGCCTGTTTCTTCTTTCTGAGACAGCTGATGCACATACAGCATTGCTGGCTATTTGTTTTTGTACTCCTCTTTTGTACTAAGTATTTGGGCTACATTATACTTTCCTTTTCTATCTTTTCTTCCTTATTTTCCATAAAGAACAAAATTTATTTCTTCACTTTTTTTTAACTGTAGCACTTTAAGTTTTTCAAGCAATGATAAGTGAGTTGTGTGCTGGATTTGTCATCAACATAAAATGCTAATCGTGCAGTGGCACGAGTCAATTAGCAAGAATTTATAGATGGGAATAGAAGCAAGCGTCTGATGAAGTACCTTCCTTTTTGCTTTGGGATGAATGTCATTTAGAAGTTACTACAAGTTTCCTTTGGTAGTAACATTTCTCATTTAAAAAGTTCTTTGGATGATTGCATTACATTTGAATTAACTGCTTAGCCCAAATTTTAAAACAGGAACTTCACATTTCTGGTATCCCATAAGATAAAGTGATTTGATCCAGGAATAATAGTGTTTTTAAAATGGAAAAAAAAATGTTTTCATTTATATTTTAAAAAACATTACAATATTTTTAGGACCTGTAATATATTTTTAAAAGAATGATATTTTGAAATTGAATTCTGCTTTTAGAAACCTGGTAAGTTTAATTTTAGGGAATTACTCATGTAGTTATCAGAAATTATTATCTTTAATACCTGGATTTTCATCCATGTTTTTGATGTAAGTATAAGATAAATTATGGGTCAGGAAGTGTATTAAAGTATTATATTTTTATGATTATACTATAAATTCAAGTTTTAGGTCTTCTAAAAGGAATTTTAAAAGACAAATTCTACAGGTAGTTTTTAGCATTTAATGTTACAATTTGGTATAATAATACAAGCATTTAGTTTTTAAAGATGGTTAGAAATGTTTGCTTTTATTATATTTTGGAGGCATTAAAAGCCCAATCCTTCTTAAACTTTTCTTTATATGTATTCTTCAGGCAATTTTTAAATACATTCAGAGAGCAGTTGGATTCTACAGAACATTTTCTCAGCCTGATCATTTCATGTCTTACCCCTATATTTCATTATAGAAAGCAATCTTTTTTCTTTTTCAGTTTGAGTCAGGGACCTTTTGTTATTACTGTTTCTTCTGCATGAAATTAATTTCCTAAATAAATTACAAGTAATCACATCACCCCCTTTAAGAAAAAAACATTCCGCACGGAAGCCTTGTTTCTAATCCAGTGAGGAAAAGGTCTGGGCGCCAAGTCGTGGGTTGGATGTTTCTGGTTTTGTTCTTGTGCTGGGTGAGTTGTTGTTAATACGCCACCCTGGGCTTTGGAGAGCTCTGATTTTGCTGTTTGTGCCTGAATTCACTGAAATTTCTTAGAGGCTTACATTTAAAGATCCCACTTACTACAGTCACTCCTCGTGCTTTATTGCTTTTACAAGTGGTCTCGAAACCAGTACTTGAGAATAAACATAACAGTGCAGTGCTGCTGTAGCACTTTTAAAAATTCTTCTTTGCTCTATTTTGTCAGTGAATGGATGAGCAACCTCAAAAAAAAAAAAAAAAAAAAAAAAACCCGCTGGACCTAAAAAAAAAAAAAAATGGCTTCCTCTGATGTCCTAGAGACAATAATTATGATGTGCTAGTTAAGCCCAAACTACAGCTGAGGGATTTTACTTTAAAGCAGTGGCTTGGGCGCAAAAATACATTTATAGCTCTTTGTCTGTACCTCATTATGTGTGGGCCTGATTCATTAAGTAATTGGTTTGCAGTTGTTTACATGAGTATTAAGGCCTTCTTTTCAGCCGCCTTTGAGAGATACATTGTGCAAATGTTGCCTGCGATGAATGCAGAATGAGGGCCAGAGGGTCCGTCCTATTGGCTAAACAGTGCACTCTGTTGAAAAGCCAGAGAAAGGGATTGGGTGCTGCTTTGCATAGCAATGGCTTTCTTAATAAGCGTTACAGATTAATACACACAAGCTATAAAAGATGCAAAGAGATACTCTTAGCACATTTATACATGCTCATTTCATTGTGATGGTGGTGCGGTCCGGGTGCTTTCATATTCCATTTTTCAGAACAGCAGCTTCAGTGCATGAGCCGTAATAGAATCCGATGTTTATTGTATTATAAATCACAGGCAAGCAGGCAGATCGGCAACAGTTTATTATTAAAGATTCTTTCAGTGTAAATCTTTTTCTACTATTGTATTTGCTTCGGCAAAATCATTTTGTGGTTGAGTGGGGATGAAAGGCATAATGTACGAAGGAGTGAGTCCTAATAGGAAGCTGTTCTCCGCGTAAAGACCACTTGTTCCCTTTTGTTCAGGGTGCATGCCAGAGCTTCCTCTCCTCTGCAAACATTGTCTTGCTTTACCTTCCCCGGGAAGCCGTTTTCACTCTCCCAGATCCATTTATTCAGTGGAGAGTATATTTTAACAGCCTGTCGGGTAACTTCAGTTTACTGGTTGGATCGAGATAACATTTTACCAAAAGAAAAGGATGTGTGCTTACAACTTAATTGCTGGGGGGAAAGGTAGCAGAGGTCATCCAACCATCGCAGGCACCCTGGCAGAGCCTCCTTGGGTGGCATTCTGTACCAGCCCTGCAGCCACGGGAGCGGCCAGGGGAGGGCGCCAGGCTACGGCTGATGCTCTGGGGACCGTGGTGTCTCTCTTCTTGCCTGGTCACTATGCCATTTCCTCCTGGGGCGTTAAGAAGATCACAAAGAAATAAAAATGAGGTTTTCCTGGATGCGCTTTAGGTTCTCATATAAAAGCCCCCCTCTGCATCTCTGGCTTAGCAAATCTGCATTCTCCTTAAATTCTACTGAATTAGCAGCTTCCTAAATAATCCACATGCTTTTCATCATAAACTAGTATACTTCTCTTTTTTCTACACAGAGCACAAAAGAACAATGGCTTGATTAGCCAAATGGAAGGAGTTAGTTAACAAGTTGACCCCAGGCAGCTAAAAAGCAGCGTCTGCTGCAGGGCTCCTGGCTAACCATCAGGGGGCGCTCAGACTTTGTTGAATTAGGCTGTCTCAGACTTTGGTCTGCCTCTGAAACTTAAAATTAGTATTTATAGATTTGCTGGCATACCCATTGGGATTTTTTTTTCTGGATTATTTTTTGCCTTCTGCTTTCCAGAATCAATCTCTAGATTCAGTAACAAAAAAATATCCTCAGGTGAGGATTCAAAAAAAGAAAAAAGATCCAGGCAAGAGATGCTGGTTTTGTTGACCAGAGGGTGGCAATGCATAGGGAAAGAGTGAGAATTTTGGAAAGTAATAGGAAGTAACTTGGCAGGACCTAGGCAAGGATGAGGATCCTTTTTTCTGCCAAGGGCCATTTGGATATTTTTAACATCATTCAAGGGCCATATAAAATTACCAACCTAAAAATTAGCCTGCTACATTTGGTCAAGCATTTAATTAACTCACCCCTAATGCCTTGTCAGGACCAGACAAATGATTTCATGGGCTTTATATGGCCCATGGGCTGGATGTTCCCTACCCCTGCTACCAGACAATTTAGAGCCTCTTTGTATGTCCCTGATTCCTTTCAAGCTGCTGTCCCAGTGCTGGAGCTCAGAAGGAGTGAGTCTGAGTAAGTCCATGCAGGGGCCCTTTAAGAGGACTGCCTTGGACTCCAGCAGCCTCTATCTCCCTCAGCCACACTCCCCATTGGTTTTTACAGCCAGAAGTTATGGGGACTTCTCTTCCTGGCTCTGGAACCCTGGGCTGGGAGGCCTGGTGTAGGGCTGGGACTCCTAGCACCTCAGTGGGGACTTCCACAGCTGAAATATCTCTCCTGATTTTAAACCGCCATACATGGGAACGGGACCAGCCTGTTTCATGTTTCTGCCCCTCCTATCTATCTCAATGTGGCTTCTTCTTTAAATCCCTAGTTGAGGATTTCCATTCAGCTATATTTTAGGTGGTTGTCAATGATGGTTGTTCTGTAGGTTAGTTGTAATTTTGATGTGGTTGTGGGGCTGAACATTAGAGAATTTAAGTATAATTTAAAAATTGAATGATGCTCCCACAGGAGACTTTTAAATTCATTAAAATTGCAAAAGCTCTTGAAAAGGAGCACTGATGTGGGCATCATATTCCATAGAATCAGTTTCTTGTTTGATTCACTCTAGCAAACAAACTGCTAGATATTAGATGCATTAGACACTTGCATTTTTATGCATGTGATACACGGAGACTTAAACATGGATTTCTAGGATACTTGTATTTTTTTCTGCCACATGTTAACATGTTTAACTAAGGAAAGTGAGAGTTTATTTTTAACTCCTTTGTTAAAACGTTAAGTATTGGCTTGATGAAGATAAGTATTTTAACTTCCTCATCAACTTCTTGTATCCTACCATCTTGAACTCCCTACTTCAGGTATTTCTCTTTTAGTTTGTCTCCAAGTGCTAACGCTTTACACACCAGTTTTTTCCAGAGACTGTTGAGGGGAAATCGGCCCTCTGTCTCACTGCCTTGCATTCATTCTCCGAAACAGCACAGTGTGCAGTGCCCCGTGGCACACGGGGGGGGGGGGGGGGGGGGGGAGCGGAGTCTGACTCAACTGCTGCAGAGCCAACACTCAGGGGCAGCAGCGATGCTGTCGTAATAGGGACCCTCCCACCAAAGCATCAGCCAACACCTCTGGCCACAGCAGGCCTGACGTTTTCTTTTTGCTTTAAAAGTTGGGGAGTAAATGTAAATTTTCTGGCCTTTCAGTGAATAACATGTGCTTCTTCCCTAAGGTGCTTTTTGTAAAAATATTGGTCTGGTTATCTTTTTCTTTAGAACTCAGGTTATTCCTTTATTTTACAGTCATGAAAACAAAAAGAAACTAACTACCAACTTAAAGTCTAAAGGTAAGAAAGTAACGAGACCCGATTGCCATTTTCTGTTCTGACCAAAAGGCCTGTTTGTGACGTGCATTTGTTTTCTGGCATAAGGGCCATGAAGCTCACCTGTGATCACAAGGGCAGTCCTTGCAACTCTTCCCGGGGGGATGTTGTCTGTGAAGAGATTGGAGGGCTTCAGTGACCTGAGAGCACATGGGTGCCATAGGTCAGAAGCATAGCATTTTAATTTGCAAGTATGAATATGCAGGGAGTCCTGACCTCCGCATATAATTGGTTACCAGCACTGTGTTCTACCTGTGAAATGTTTTTTGCCTCTGTCCCATCCTCACTGCCAGTGCCCTGCAAGTACCCACTTCTCAAGACATGAAGGGCTCTTGCAGAGACTCAAACTGGTTTTTTAACATCCTACCTCTTCCCAACTCCTGACTGTCCTTCACCTGCCCACCAGCATCTACAACCTCATTTAACCTTCTTACCTTCCTGATTAAGAATTGCCAATGCCTTCCCACCATCTACCGGATAAAGTCTATACTTTCTCCCTTTTTGGTCTGGCCCCATCCCTACTCTCCAGCTCAGCTCTTCCAAGAGTCTTATCCTCATTGAGTCTAATCACAGCCTTATGCTGTGTGCCTTTGCTCATGTTACTCCCTCTCTATAATGTTCCTTTTTCTTTTCCTCAGCCTACCAAGCTCCTATTCAACCTTTAACACCCAGCTTACAAGGAGAGTCTAACCTTCCTTTCACATAGCATTCTGGGATATTCCCTTTTGAGCTTGGTCTCTATCTACTCCTGTCTCCTTAAACCCATTTCTAGTGGGTTATAATTGAGAACATGGATTTGAGTCAGACAACCTAAGTGAGACTCTGGGCTTTAACCAGCCACTGATGATGATTTGGCCAGTTACTTTACCTCTTGCAGCCTCAATTTGATCAGTAAAACAGAGATATTAATATTTACCTTATCAGGTTGGTAGAAGGATTATTGGAGTCATATATTAGAAGGCATCACAGAGCTGACAGGTAGATATTGATAGTCATGGAGATTGTCAGTGTAGCAGACAATATCTCCACCACATCCTGAATGATCACTGTGGGGGTCACCTCAACAGTTCACTGGCATGCCCTTGGCCTTCTACATCAGGCAGCTGTGGATCTCCACCTGAGGGCTTTATCTGACCACAGGAGTAGATAAAGCTCCTTTCTCACAGGGCAGCCCAAAGTGCCAGGGAGTGGATGCCCTGGTTGAGAACAACCCTCACACAAGGAGACATGGAAGTTGGTGGATAAATTATCTCACTTCCTTATTCTTTGGGCAATTTAAGGAGAGTTCTGCAGTCTCTCAGAGGATCCCCTGTAGGACCACCGCCACCAGCCTTTCTCATTAACAGCCCCTGTGGCTTTCTCTCTTCCCTGTGTCACTTTCCCAGTTCTCCTAACCCCCATCATTCTCAGGATTACCTCCAAAATAAACCATGTGTACCCAGACCTTTGTGCCAGTGTAAACCACCTCTTCTCTTCTCCTCTCTGTTTCACAAGAGTGAAGAACAGAGGGAGATCAAGGTGGAGAGGCAGCTCAGTGAGGTGGTATCAGACCTAATAAAATACCCAGGTAATTCTGCTTCTGTATTAATCCTGATTTTAAATCCCAATCCTACAGTAAAGAGTTGGACACACAGAAGGGAAAAGAAAGTATTCTGTAAAGTGTTTTCCATAACAATACATAGAACACACTGTAAAATATGTAAATTTGTGCAGTATAGACATGCATTCCAGGTGTATCTGGTCAGGTACATCACATGGTGTCCCTAGGAGGCCTTTTGCAGACCAGTGCTCCAATTAACCAGTCCAGCTAATTAAACCAGGCTAATCAAGGTACCAAGATGTTAAATAGCTGTCTTCTTTTCTCTTCCAGCCTTCTGGGGTGAGTCTGATGACACCAACTCAGAAATTGAAGCTGCTTTACGTCCTAGAGACCATAGCACATCCACGGATGATTTTGATGATTTCTATGACTAATTAACTGTAACTGTTCTTCAAATAAAGTATTTAAACAAATTGAAACCCTGTCTTCATATGTGATTTCCAAAATAAATGAGTCCTTTTAAGTTTTCTAATTGTTTAATATGAAAACTTGGGACCACATTGCTATTCCACTGAAATTTTATGGCATAACTAGAGGCCCGGTACATGAAATTCATGCATGAGTAGAGGGTCCCTAGACCTGGCTGACGATCAGGGCCAATTGGGGCCTTCTGGCTGCCAGCTGGGGCCTTCCTTCATTCTGCACCGCCCCCTGGTGGTCAGCAAAAGTCATAGCAAGTGATCGAACTCTCAGTCTCCTGGTTGAACTCCTGAGGGGACACTTTGCATATTAGCCTTTTCTATATATAGATATATTATGAAGTAGCATATTCATTTTTCAGTGTTATCAAAAAGCAAAGTAATGAATTCAGTACCCATCAAAATTCAAATTGTTTTCTCTGTAGAAATTGACAAACTGATCCTAAAATCCATATGGAAATTTTAAGGGGCCCAGATTTGCCAAAACAGTTTTGAAAAAGAAAAAGTTGAAGTACTCACACTTTCCAATTTTGAAACCTACTAAAAACTTGCAGTAATTAAGACAGTGTGGTACTAAAACAGACATATAGATAAATGAAATATTGATTTATATATAATCTAGAATTGATAATGCAGAGATAAACCCTTACATTTATGATCATTTAATTTTTTAAATATATTTTTTATTGATTTCAGACCCCAGCACACTCCCCACCAGGGATCGAGCCTGCAACCCGGGCATGTGCCCCAACTGGGAATTGAACCATGACCTCCTGATTCATAGGTTGACAACGTTCAACCACTGAGCCACACCAGCCGGCTATGTTCATTTAATTTTTTATAAGAATACCAAGACCATTATATAGGGAAAGTATGGTCTTTTCAACAAATGATGCTGGGACAACTGGATAGTTTTATGCAAGAGAATGAAGTTGGGTCCCTGCCTTGCACTGTATACAAAAATTAACTTCAGATGGATCAAAGACCTAAATGTAAGAATATAAAACTCTTAGAAGAAAGCATAGATGTAAATCTTTGTGACCTTGCTTTAGATAGTGGTTTCTTAGCTATGACACCAAAAAGCAATAACAATAGATCAAACTAGATAAATTGGACTTTACCAAAATTAAAACTTTTTTTTTTTTACTATAAAGGACACCACCAAGAAAGCAAAAAGACATTTGGAGGCAGTATGGTGAAGTGGAAGGGAACTATCAAGAAATTCATTCAGGCCTTAACCAGTTTGGCTCAGGGGTCCCAGGTTCGATTCCGGTCAAGGATGTACCTTGGTTGCAGGCACATACCCAGTGGGGAGTGTGCAGGAGGCAGCTGATCGATGTTTCTCTCTCATCGATGTTTCTAACTCTATATCCCTCTCCCTTCCTCTCTGTAAAGAATCAATAAAATATATTTTAAAAAAAGAAAAGAAAAGAAAGAAATTCATTCAGTATCGGCTCAAGATGGCAGTGGAGTAGGTGGATCTTGCTTGAAACTCCTCCCAGAACCAAACTGGAAATTAACTTATTTAATTGGCCCATATTTTCCTTTTTATATGTGTACAACAGTGGGATGATTTTTTAAATTTTTAAAAATCATAGTAAAATACACATAAAATTTACCATCTTAGCCATTTTTAAGTGTACCATTCAGTGGCATTAAGTACATTCACACTATTGTGTAACGATCACCATCCCCAGAATTCTTTTCATCTTGTACAATTGAAGCTGTACCCACTAAACAATAACTCCCCATTCACAGCCACTCTCCACACGTCATACAAGTAGATCTGATTGGTAGGACCTACTTAAATCACAACGAAGCTTCAAGGGAGTCTAGAAAATGTAGTTTTCAGCTTTTCAGGTTCTGATGACAATGGCTCTGTGAGCTTCTGGTAAAGCCATAGGAAAGCATACAAGCAGAGGCTAGAACTGATGTTGAGCATCATTCTACCGTATCTATTGTAAATATCTACCATTACTAGTCCTGGAGTATGCTGGGGGATGGTTATTCTAAACAGTCTATTGTAAATATCTACCATTACTAGTCCTGGAGTATAGTATGCTGGGGGATGGTTATTCTAAACGGAAACCATATCTAGAGGTGAATTCTTTGAGTTTGCAACACCAAAGTCGACCTCACTTTACTGTCCCTGTAACTCCCAAAAGAAGCCTATGCAGGGTCTCCCATCAACAGTGGGAAAGGACATTCTCCAGGCATAAACACCATCAGGGCCAATCTGAGCTGAAAACTTCACACAGATAAGAGCCATGAAATTTCCTGCATTTGCTGTCACTAGGACTTGGCCATCCTTGAACTTCTCGTCTCTTTGAATTGCTTTTCTAGTTGCACTTCCTTTTTAAATGGTCAACATGCCACTGTGTCCTCCCAGACTTTCCTCGTTACCATGTGGTTTCATACCTTTGGCATTCCATTGTGTTACTGACTGGTGAGATTTTTAAGGCCCAGTTCTCTATTTGTGACAGCTTGTGAGTTCCCTCATCCTTTTCCTTAACAAAAAAATGAGGGGACCAAACAACTACACATACTAACAGCTTTCATCCAGTTCTCAAGCTTTCATCCACTTTTGGTATTCCTGTCACTAGCAGTTGTGGCAGCAGCAGAGTGCTTTGGTGACAATCAGATTTTGATGTATCAAACTGGCAAAAATACATTAAAGAGGATGGCACTAATTCTAGGCCCAGATGCAAGCAGATAAGGATTATGTTACACAAGAACTTACCCCAAGTGAGAGAACCAGAACGCATCCAATTGAAAGACCTACTAGTATTCAGCAGCCAAGATTTCAAGTCTAACTGCCTTGGGTAGTGGTTTTATATGTTTACCTCAAATCATCCAGAAATCTCTGGCTCCTTAAGGTAGCTCCCTTAACATTTTATACCTCCCTCCACTGATGTTTTCCATTTCCTCGGGCCAGTCCAGCCATTGACACAGAGACTAATATTTGATGACAGATGGCTCTGTGAGCTTCTGGTAAGGCCATATTTCACTTCGCAATGCCAGCAACGACCGAATTCCTCTAGAGTCTTATTTATTATGCCATTATTGTGCACAAACTCATTAGATGTAAAACATTCTGCCAGTCAACTTGATCCTGCTCTTCCCCAGCTGTCACACTGGCAGCTCAAAGATGATGACAGATGATACTGATGGGCAATACAATTGCCATCTCCGCATTCCCAAATTTAATGCTGGATGCTCCTTGACCAAGAGAATGTGCTAGAGAAAAGAGCAAGGGGGCACTTTGTAGCACCCTACAGTTTAATCACCATGCTAGTTTACCAATGGCATTCATAAGGCCCCTTGGCCAGGTCTTCCCAGCACTTGCAAGCATATTTATGGCAACTATATGAATTAACTGAAATCAAACTATATCCTATGTCCCGGTGCCATTAGAATGCTATCACTCCTGCATCCTGGTCCGAATTCTTGGCAAGGACTAGTTCTTTCTCCCTTTCCAGATAGGCCTGCATCGGTCTCAATGCTCAAACATTTCTCATAGGCATTTTTGCATAATATAAGAAGTAACCATTATTCAATCACTCATTTAACAAGAGCATTTATTCTGGAGTACTTGATATGCCCTAGATACTATGCCAGGCCAAATATACAAAGAGATGAATTTGGTGTGTATCCCTGTAAATTGTTTAGGTAATGTTTTAGCTACTGTGACAAATAGGCCCCCAAATACAGTAGCTTTTAATATATGAAAGTGTATTTCTTTCTCATCAGCAGCCCCAAGTTTGGCAGGTGACTTTGCTCTTGCACATTAAAAAATCCAGGTCCTTCCCATTTTGCTCCTCCTCCATCCCCAGGCCATTATCCTGGTCTGCATGGCCAACCTGGGTGGTAGTCACTAGAGGAGGGAAAGAGCTAAAGTCCTAGGAAAGGGATTTCCTTTGAAGAAGTGGCATGGGAATTTCTCACATTCCACTGGTGAGTACTTAGTTATGGAACCTAGTCAGACCATTAACAACATTTTTTTTTTTGCATGAAGAAAAACAATACACACAGGCATACACACACAGTTATAATTCCTGGTTTGCACATTATCTGGTCCCGAAGCCAAATAAGTTCACAAGTTTCTTATTGATGCTGCATGGAAGGTTCTTGAAGGTGTTTGGTGAGCTTATATTGCCTTTACATCATGTGGATAGTCATTATTTTAATTTAATAAATGCAAAATGTTTACAGGAACTTCCAAAGGTTATTCATGATCTCAATCCTTTAAGGTGGAGTCCCTTTCCTCTGAGTCCTCTGCCTGGAAGGAAGGGGCCATGGCCCTTAGTTTAGATGGTTCCTCCCCTCCACCCTTTACCCCCGGAAACCTTCAGAAACAGAATCCTGCAGGAGCCCCACGGGCCATCACTAGGACCTTGGAAGTCACAGGTAAATGTTTCCCAAAGAAACTGCTCTGGGAGAACTAGGACAGGATTTACACAGAGAAAAGAAGGAGGAAGGACAGATTGCAGTCTTGATCTTCTGTGTGCTCTCAGGGGAAGAACCATTGATTCAAAACAGAAGGTCAATATGGTCCCTGCTAAGCAAACTGGAGATCCTTGAAGAGCCTCTCCGTCCATTAGGACTCTCAAGCCCTGCTCTGGAATGAGCAGGAAGAAATTTGGCCTGAGCTCATCTTTAAATACAGAGCATTTGGATCTCCGTGCTGCCTGTGCTGCCTGATCAGAAAAACATTCCTCACGGCTCCTAGCTTTACAATTTCCTGAAGAAGCCAAGTTTGAAGTCACTCTTAGCCCCTCTTCTAAGATTGGATCTCCGTGCTGCCTGTGCTGCCTGATCAGAAAAGCATTCCTTATAGCTCCTAGCTTTATAATTTCCTGAAGAAGCCCAAGTTTGAAGTCACTCTAAGGTCCTCTTCTAAGTAATTGGGAGGTGACATTGGCCCATATGA